ATATATTACAAGTTATTCAGAATTTTGAATGCATTTTAAGAATGCTTTTCGCATCAACTGGTCAAAATGCACAACACCGCTGCAGTGGCGGTTCGTGGGTTTTAAAATAGAGGAGGCACACTAATTATAGCACAGATGTTTTCAACATTGATCGTAGTAAGAAATGCTTCTTGAGCACAAAATCAGCATATTAGAATGATTTCTGAAGGATCATGCGACACTGAAGCCTGGAGTAATGGCTGCTGAGAATTTAGCTTTGCCCTCAGAGTAACAAATTACATTTTAAAATGTTGAATTAGAAAATGGTTATTTTAAATTGTAATAAGATTTTACAGTATTACTGTTTTTACTGTATGTGTTATCAAATAAATGCAGCCTTGGTGAATTAAGAGACTTCTTTCAAAAACATAAAAAAAATTTTACCGACACCAAACTTTTCAATAGTAGTGTTTACTAAATAATTGCAAAATTATTTTTATTGTTAAAGCAATTGTTTTATGATATTTCCTTATGTCACTTTTTTAGCACTTTTACTTATATAATGTTATATAGAGTGTATGGTATAACACAATGTTATACATGGTGTCTTGCACCAAAAACATTCATAATTTATTCATTTAAATGATTGTTTTTGTAAAAATGGCTGTACTGTGAAGTCTTCTGTATGTAAATGACTCTGTCATCTGAATGACCCATTTTTGCTGCTCCGTTTAAGTGGCCTTGTCTCAAATCATACATGTTTTAACGATGTTTTCTTTCTAATTTTCATTCCTTCAGCACAAAGAAAAGACTGTCGGCTCACCAGGGAGCAGGAGAGCCGTCTCCCTACTCACTGGCTGAAAAGCAAGGGCGCTCACACCACGATGGCCGACGCATTATGGCGACTCCGAGACCTGATGATGAAAGACACGTTCAATATCCGACAGGCATACAACCTTTAAACCTTTGTTTTATCCCCAACTCTCAGGACTCTAATTTATGCAAGCCTTCTCCTACCAAATCTTTCCTATCACAGTGTGATAAAGTATTATGTACTGTTGGAGAATGCTTCAGCAATAATCTCCTAGTTGTGTGTGCGCATATGTGTGTGTGAGAAATAAAGGTTTTAGCCACATTTAGGTACGTAAGACGCACTGGAATTAAGTCAATCATGCATCAATTTATAACTACTGACATGGATTTGAAATATGTCACTTTGGCTGTTACTTTAGATGGATTTTGTTTGAGTTTGATGTTTATCCTCATCATTTTTATTATGCTTAATACATCACCTCAGACAATGGCATCACCAATCCTCACAAAGTTCTCTGGCTATGGCCACTCTTTACAAAAAGACTTCAAGTGGGCAAAGTTTTAAAAGAACACAGTAGCATTTTATAAATATATTTTCCTTTTTATACAGAGGCAAAATAAGCTGAGTATTTTATTTTAATGATACTGTAATTTTCATTGTGTACATACAAAAAAAACAAAGCCTGTAAGAAATGCTTAAACACAGTTGCATTAAAAATAACAAAATTGTCTCGATTTCACCAATAAACATCATTTCAAAAGGATAAAGTGTGCTTCAAGTATGTTCAAAACATGTTTGTGAGAGGATTGGGTTACCAACCCCTCCTCCCACCACTACTGTAACATAAGGCCCGCCAAACCAGGCCACAAACCTCTGCAGATTATGTTTAAACGCGACTAATTAAAAAGTTGAATAGTAATTTAATGTAGCAATCAATTACTAAAACCCCTTTTTCCTCGTTTTTACCCCACAAATGACTGGCGTGATGTCATTTCCTGTCGGGAGCGGAAAATATCAGGTTATTCTCTTTAGTGTTTGCCGTCTACACTCACCCTCTATACCTCTTCCCCGTGTTTTCATACTAAACCAGTACAGAACCCCTTTAAACGGGACGAAGCCGAACAGACACTACAGTTTAACAACGTAACTCATGGAGTAAATCACAACCGAAGAGAAATAAACCGAGGTGAGCGTTATGGAGCCGGCGTTTGTGGAGATGCGCGAGCTGCTAGTGTGTTAGCTCGAGCCATTCATACTGATCTCAGTGAGTCTTATCGCATATTGTAACAGCGGCTTTTGCCGAGAAAACATAATATTATACAAACAAGCCTGATTTGGTTATGCCGTGCTTTTTATATGAATGGTGCTTGTATGTGTATATCGCTGGCTTTGATATTTGTGCAAGGGTAGGAGGAGTCTTGACGGCTGATACTTATTTTTCTGTTCATATTTCCAGCGTTCGCGTTGATTGTTCATATTTTTTAAGCAAGTAAAAAGAATTATAAAAAGCATTTTATAATTCTAAAAATGTCTGCCTTCAGTTCATGGTGCACAGTCTTTCGTTAATAATTTTTATGAAGTAAACGTAAGAATAACTTTTATATTCTTAGTAATATTTCAAGTCGAACATTTACTGGACTAAAGCAGCTTAGGTTTACTTGATTATCCATACTTAATTGGAACATTATATTAAGTCTCAAATTTTGCCATCCACAATAAAAACTACAGAGCTTTGATTATAAAACCATACTTAATAAGACATATTATTGGGAGTTTTTTTCCTCCTCAAGTGTGAATTTCATATTCTCATATATCATACTATTTGAGCCGTAAAAGCCTGATTTATCAAATATGATACAAAAAAAAAACTATGCACATTTTTTGTTCAATAACTAATTTTAAAAAATTCGACTTTAAAATTTTAGGCTTTACAGGGTTAGCTTATATAACTTGCACTCTTTCAAAATATTTGTGGATCATTTAAATTAAGTGTTGCTAAGCTTAAATCTTGTATTAACATTACTGATCACCATTTAAAATTGTGGCAACAGTTATGGAGTCACTATTATGTCATAGTAGTGATACTGAATATCACGGCAGTATTACATCACTGAAAGTTCTGAGTTTTTGTTGTTTTGTTAGTAAGTGAACAAGAATGATTTATTCACTCCAAACACTGTTCACAAACAGATCTAAGCTTACCAAATTCTTTATTAAAGGGTTAGTTCACCCAAAAATGAAAATGCTGTCATTAATTACTCACTCTCATGTCGTTTCAAACCCGTAAGACCTTCGTTCATCTTCGGAACACAAATTAAGATATTTTTGATGGAATCTGAGAGCTGTCTGACCCTGCATAGACAGCAACGCAACTGAAATGTTCCCAAGTCCAGAAACGTAGCAAGGAGATCTGTAAAATAATCCATGTGACATCAGGGGTTCAACAGCAGTTGTACGAAGCTACGAGAATACTTTTTGTGCGCAAAAGAAAAAAAAAACGACTTTATTCAACAATTCGTCTCCTCCACGTCACCCTGCTGCCATTTTGGAGAGTATCAGCTGGACGTAAACAACTCCAAACGTACTCTCCAAAATAGCACCAGGGTGATGCGGAGGAGATGAGTTGTTGAATAAAGTCGTTTTTCTTTTCTTTTTTTTCGCACAAAAAGTATTCTCGTAGCTTCGTATAATTACGGTTGAAC